TTGGACCAAGGCTTGAACAGCGATGGGTAGAGCTTCCCATCGCTGTTTGGCATGGTTCTGGAAGTTGGTTTGGCTAAGGGGCTACTTACCCATCGATGGGATGTTCTTCCCATCGCTGGGTGGGTGGTTAGCCAAAAACCTATGGTTTTTGCCTTAACCACGGCCTAGCCAACCGATGCAAAAACCGACCGAAAAATCCAAAGTTCTCCAAAATAAAAACCAAGTGTTTAAAACACTTATTTGATGTATTTGGATAAGAAATCAAGTGAGACACTTTAAAAAACACGTCATTTGAGTAAAAACCACGGCTAGCCAAGTTTACGCCGTTTTGCGTGGTTTTTGTCAAACGACTAAAAGCGAGAGATGGTTTTCAAAGTGTTTTTGTTGGAGAACCGTTTAAACATGCCAAAGAGTGAAAGCAGATCATAAAATTCTGAAAACCACTTGGTTGGTTCGGATGCCAAAAACCAAACCCGACAACCGAAAGCCGAACGCTGGTTTCTGAAAGCCGAACACTGGATGGCTCTATTTTTGGTTTGGGCGAACACCAAGTGTTTTTAATGACTTAAACAAGTTTGAAAAACGTTTTTATGATGTAAGAAATGCAATGAGAGATTTTAGCCTAAAGAGCCAAGGTGTAAAGATTGGGTCGGTCTTGATCACAATAAAGACCGACTCAATACTATGATTAAGGTCTTCGTTCTTTGTCTTCGTTTAGCTCTTGCTCTTATCTTCGTTCTTCGCCTTGTATATTCAATGTTCGACTTGATCACGGCGGTTTGGCATTATCAAAACCTGTTACAAAAACGAACACGGCTTTAGTACGAAAACGTGACAAGCCCGTGATTCAACAAACAATCCCCACGGGATAATGCACAAAAGAAACCTTACTATTTCTTCTACTTTGACGAAAAGAAAAATGTCCACATTCCGTTGCTGGAACCGACACAAATCACATCAAGATATCGGCACTCCGTTCAGTTAGACTTGAACCCGCCAACCACGAGACAACGGGTTGGCCAAGGTAATTCCTAAACGATCATCTAATCGTGTGTGTGTGTGCGCGTGCGCGTAAGGAAATGGATTTTTGGGTGTGTGTGTGGGCAATAAAATTTAACTAACCCCCAAGGACCCATAGACATACTTTGGGTACCAAAGTGTTGCTCTTTTTTGCAGGGACGGTTTGAAGTGAAGAAATCTGGAAGTCAGGGGAAACCAGCGATGGGTTGGTTCATACCATCGCTGGGAGAGAAGTCTCTTCTTTACAGAACTCCTCTTCCCATCGATGGGAACTTCCTCCCATCGATGGGTGATTGACTCTATTTTAAAAAAAAATGTTTAACGGATTTCCAGAACACCTTCACCCATCGATGGGTATTTTATCCCATCGCTAGGTGAATGACCTTTGCTTAAATTTTTTTTCCAGAACCATCCCACCCATCGATGGGAACTTCCTCCCATCGATGGGTGTTTGACACTATTTTTTAAAAAAAAAAAATTAACGGATTCCCAAAACTCTCCTACCCAGCGATGGGATGGTATAAACATCGATGGGAAGGGACTCGTTATTGATTCTTCTCTTTCCAGAAGCCACCTTCCCATCGATGGCTGAAGCAAGAGAAAACTTGGACACTAGCAAGCAACTGGAAACTCTAAGAAAATAGAAATCTGACGTGTGCTAGTAGCTGCTGACATCGAAGAAGACTAAAGAAAGCTGACATGTGCCGGAAGCTTGAACAGGTAAAAAGCTAGTAAAACACTTATTTTATTCACATTTGTCAAATGCATAGACTATTTTGACTCATTTAAACGAACAAGAGCCAAAGTAAATATCAATCCTATACTTGCATCCGCGCGGGATCCATTTGGCATCCAAATATCCCTTAATGTGCCTAAGATGTTCTAAGAGTACAATAACAAGAACAAGACCAACATCACAATAACAAAGCCTTATCCTACTAAAGGAGATCGACTACATGGATCAAACGACGCCATTGTGCTCTATCATGTATCACATCTGCAATAAAATCATTCACGTGAAGCTCTTCCTTGACTAATGCTTGCAGAGGCGGATCCAGGATTTTACAAGCATGGGGTCTTCTACCTCTAATTCTCATATCAAACTATTTCATAAATCTTAACATTTAACAATAAACTAAAACTAATATTTCAAAAATATCATAATTAATACATAAAAATAAAGTCATACGAAAATAATATTAATTACATAAATTAGACATAAAATTAATACTAATACAATAATACTTATCACTTGCAATCCTAAATCAATTTTTTATTGAAGAAAAATCTTTGATTCTTTTAAGAATAAGTAATGAATAAAAAATAAATATATAAATTATAATATATTTATATATTACTAATCATATATCAAACTTCAAACTACCATAAAAATTAATTTTAGTACAATGGTCAAACTTCGGCGGCACGGCGAACAAAAGCCGGCAGGCGACGGAAAAGAGAGATGGAGAATCGACGAAGGTTAAGGTTCAAAATTAAAAATTCGAAATAGAGAATTGGGGAAGAGAGGTCAAATTTGTAGAAAAAATAGGGGTTACGCGTTTTAATTTTACGCACAAAACGACGCCGTTTTACTCCATGCTCTTTTTTTAAAAAAAAAAGAAAAAACTGGCTCTAAAAGATGAAGGTTGGCGTTCAAAATTAAAGATTTGAAATAGAGAATTGGGGAAGAGGGGTCAAATTTGCAGAGAAAATAGGGGTTACTAAATTTTACGCGCAAAACGACGTCGTTTTACTCCATGCTCTTTTTTTTAAATAAAAAGAAAGAAAAAACCGACTCTAAAAGACGAAGGTGGGATTCAAAATTAAAATTCAAAATAGAGAATTGGGGAAGAGAGGTCAAATTTGCAAAGAAAATAGGGGTTACGCATTTTAGTTTTTTTAAAAAAAAAGAAAAAACTGACTATAAACTCCATGCTCTTTTTTTAAATAAAAAAAGAAAAACTGACTATAAAAAGCCAAGATGGGAGTCGAACTCGAGCTTCTAGAGTTATTGGGATGAAACGCGCGCTTCCTCTGAACCAAACGCCATTCTCATAACATGCCGCTACGCGTAGTTTATATATTAAACATATTTACAAACCTAATACCTATATGGACCTACACCGGGGTCCGTGGGGCCCCGGGACCCCATAGGACTCAAGGTGGGTCCGCCTCTGAATGCTTGTCAAGTCTTCTTAGGTCTACTTATTCTAGTCACATGTTTATTCACCGTTTGATCAACCATCTCATGGGTGCTCTGTTGGTCTTTTCATCACATTTCCAAACCACCTGAGATGATTTCCACCATCTTTTTTAATAGTATGTGTCATTCCAACTTTAGCTCTCATATTTCCATTCCTTATTCTATCAATATGTGTGATATGTGTATGACCGCTCAACCATCAAAGCATCTTCATTTCGGCCACACTAATCTTGTGCTCATATTCACCCTGTGCTACCCAACACTCTATTTCATACAATATCATTGGTCTCGTCACAGTATGATAAAATTTTTCTTGTAGTTTTAAAGGCGTTTTTTGTCACATATAAAGCCCGAAGCACTCCGCCATTTTCACCAACCGACGTGAATCACGTGGTTAACATCACCGTGTATTTATCCATTGACTTGAATGATACAACCAAGATATTTATATCTCTTTACTTGTGTAGTATTTTTTCTGATTTTCACCTCGATGTTACTATTTCTCAATCTCTTGCTAAACTTGCATACTTTGTTTTAAGTGTGACTTAAAAGCAAGCCATGCAACTCCAAAGCCTGCCTACATGAATCCAATTTCCCATTTAAATTCTCTCGTGATTCGCTCATAATGTGATGTCATCAACAAAAAACATGCACCATGGTACATGTTCTTGAATATGCTCAGTAAGATGCTCTAAGAGTATGTACTCAAATTCCATTTGAGTGACTAACTTGGTAAATGTTTCCAAACAATGGAAACTAGTTTGACTGAACAAGTTCTACCAAATTAAAGTGACTCATAAATGTACTTACAAGGACTAAAATGAGTATTTTCTCAAATACCTTTAATAGCTAATTTCACTTATAAAGCTCTTTTTTGACATAAAGCACGTTTAAAGACTGAGTGCCAAACACTTAAAAGTATAAAAATATAGCCGTTAAAAGGATGCAAAAATCAATAGAAACATAAACTTTCAACATAAGAAGCAGTTAGAAAGTTAATTACATTGACTAAGCCTGAAATTTTCAGAATCAAGGAGCCTCAGTACAAGTTTTTCTAACCTTCTTGACCCAGCAGAGGGTTTAACTGCATCAGAAATGCCTTGTACCAGGCATAGATCTTTGCCAACACCCGAACACCAACCGTCAGGAGAAAATAGACGTTTAGATCCTCTCAAGATTTCCTTATCGATCTTATCAAGAACCGGATCATCGACGGAAAAAGTACGAGCAAATGGTATGCCACTCTGGACCATGTCCTCAAAATGTTCCATTGTTAAATTCATTGGGCTCTGCTTCGGGGGATTATCCCATTTTATGTAATGTAAGTTATGGTTCACTGTTGTATTCTGATAGTCCTTGTTATTGCAGACAACAGTATGGAAGTAGCCCTCTGGAGAGGATAGGAAATTGGTATAGTACATAAGAAGAGTCCGTGGGAGATTGTCCCATCCCCAAATGCAGAATTGTAGGAATGACCTTGTGAGAATCACCCATTCAGATCCTGCAATTGTAGGGTCTTTATGTGGTTAGTTTTAGTCTGTCAAGAAGTTAACCTAAAATTTGCTGGGAGAGTTCCTAGCTAGCACAGGAGAAAATTTCAAGTAGGGTGGCAATGGGTAGGGTATCCTACCCATATAGCATTTCCCATCCCAAGCCCGTTTAGAGTATCCCATTCCAAATCAGTTTTAATCCATTTCAGGAGAGCCCCGATATACACGAACCCGACCAATCCTCCCATCGTGTTGCATTTACCAATTTCTCGTTAAAAGTTCACACAGTTTTAAAACCCATTGGTAAAACTTTCCATTAATAAATAATCACTTGTTACAAACAAAAATTAAAATTTTTAACAGGTTGGGTATTAAAATATTTTGCCATACCCATCCTAGATCCAATCAGGTTTGGGTACCATTAAGATTCATACCCATCCTATGTCGGGATTTTTAACAGGTTAGGTTTGGCATTTGGGTACCATTAAGATTAGGCTATCCGGGATACCCTATTATACAGCCAACCCATTGTTATTCCAAATTTCAATTTTGAAATTGAATATAGCAACCACCAAAGGGTAATCCCAAAGGACGAAAGGGGTTATTAAACATATTTCCAAGCCTATGTTTCAACAGCAGGACAGTAACAAAAATCCCATTTGGAACTGTGTCCAGGTTTAAAGAAAGAGGAAGGCAGTACCCATGAACAGCTTGAAAGCAGCAGGCATTGATCGTTTCTCCTTCGCCCAAAATACGCCAGATTTCTTTGCATGATATATGCCAGGGTCTAGGATTATAGGCCTAGCCCTCTGAAACCTGTTTATATAATTATTATCTTAGAAATTTATAATCACAATAGATAGGGTGTCATAATGAGAGACTCATCTTGCAATGTTGGAATAGGGATGCATCAATGCATTGAGTAGAATGCTCACTCTTTCCAGCCAAGATTGGTTGAGTGCTCGAGAAAATTCAGATCCCTTGGCAAATACGAGAAAATGTGCAGGATATCTGGAACAAAGATGGCAAGTAGAAAAGTCAAAAGTAGGTTAAGCAAATGATTAGATCAAAATATACGATTTCCAATGTGCGCTACTACATACATTTCCACTCGAGCTATCTTTTGAAGAGCAATGGAATGGATTTTTCAAGAATATTTGTCTTTAAAGCTAGACTGAAGGAATGGCGAAATTTCAATGCATTAAAGTGGGTAACAAGACATTTATAACTACAACAGAGAATAAAATTTCACAAAGAATTCAAATACACAAACCAGTATCAACATAGCCCCAACATGGACACAGTGAAATTTGATCAATTATAGGCACTATGTTTCTCTAATTTTTAATCCCTCTGTTCTGCCCTTTGCCCATTTGTTTAAAACATTTGTGATAACAAACAAGCATGCATTTAAATCCCTACCGTACAGAACACCAACATACCCAAGCACCATATTTAAGGACATCTTGAAGAAGGCTTTCAATCCATAAACACAACAAAACTATTTGATAAGCAGGATTCAAGTTGAAACAGAAATGCAACTCTTGTCTCTAATTGTGTTTGGAATGTTCATGCTTCCTTGAGAATTCCTGACCACCCCTAATTCCATTTTTAATATATTAGTTAGGGTATTATACTTCTATGAAAGTTAATAAGTTGAGCATGCATTGTTCTAGGACCAAATAAAATGTTGATTGCTTATTCACTTAATCTATAACTTTCTAAGGTTTGAGTCAATTCCCATTACCGAAATGTGAATGCCAAAATGGAGATTAGAAACCAACTGACCATCTTGAGGCATGAGTGGGTAATCCGAAGCACTGAGATTGATAAACCAGTCCCAATTCTTAGCTTTCTTCAAGAGAATAGCAACTGCGTGGAGGGTCGAAGCCATCATCGTAGGACCTCTGTAGGTGACTAAATCCGCCTTCCCAACAACCATCACATTCTGAAACTCCCTCGTCACAACATCTGATTTTGCGAACCAAGCTAGCTCCATCCTCTCCCCATCCGAAGCCTCCAAATCAAGATGAAGCAAATAATAATTCCTAGGATGGTACAACCCGCCAAGCAACCGCTTCACCCTCCCTACGTCTCCTTTCGAACCCGAAATCAAGTAAGCCAGCCGGGGAAGCTCCGGGAGCAATCCGGATTCCGGTAACACATCAGAGCCCAAGACTCTTGATTCTGAGAGTTGGGATGGAGATGATGTGTTCCCTTTGGGGTTTTTGAGAATCAGAACGGAAATGAGTATGAGAATGCAAAGAGAAAGAGAAAGTACGGGTATTGACCATCTCCTGCTGTAGGTGAATCTTAATTTAGCTTTTCTCATTACAGACTTGGGCGATTACTAGATCCGGGGGATTTCAATTGATATGTGGTGGGTAGATCAGACTAGAAGGAAGAACATTGTGCATAAGAAGCGGATTGATGTTAAGAAAATCAATGGGTTTCTGAACTAAAATGTAGAGTAGCTGAAGAAATTGACGAATGTGCACCAATAATTTTGATTCCAAATTCATATTCCATATTA